ACATCTTACAAACTTGAAAACATTTTCAAAAAGACAATCATCTTTATATACATTCTTACGAACGAGAATCATTACAAAGATTTCCTAAACAATGGCCCTTTTTACAAAATACTTTCAAAACCACATAAAGCACAATTTCAAACAAAAGCAAGTGATCTAGAAAGTAACTAAGAGCCCATGGAAAACCATGGATGAAAAGGGTGCTAATACCTTCCCTTTTCATAATCTATCCCCCGAACTCAAGAAACAATCTCAAAGGTCTTTCCTGTGCTTTTTCACCTTTCCTTTTGGATAAAAGAAAAGTCGGTGGCGACTCTTGCTAACCGCAAGATTTGTGATAAAACGCAAAATAATCAAGTTAGTTCTCCCATCGCATCATAGTTGTCATATCTATCTTTAAAACTTTTCTTCCTACTCACTTGACTAGCCTTGGATTGATCTGAAGATTTTTTTATCTCCATACAATTTTTAACAAAAAGAATTTACATGACCATACTCACCATAATAATGACATTTCCAAGACGAGGATTGGAATTCAGTTGAAGTTACATAATGTCTTCCAGGATGTTGTGACATATGGGTGTACATGTTGATCATTCTTTTCTTTTCAGAAGGAAAGAACTTTTCTACATATATTTTCTCTTGTTTATTATCAAATGAATTATTAACCCCAGTATCTTCAGCCTCTTTCATCATATAAGCTCCATTTTTCATTCTTCTCAAAGAATCTGTCATGTTATTAAGTTTGGAATTTAAGAAAGTTACCTCACTTTGAAGATGAGAAACAATACATAGAAGCTTATTTTTTTTCATTATCCAACTCAGCTATGATCTTTCAATGATTTTCCAATGTCTTAAGACTTTCCTCACACCCGTCACAAGTATCCTTGTAGATCACATCCAGATCTCCATAGAGGATATTTTTATCACGAGAATCAACTTTATTTGTCCATCTACCAGAGAGAGCATTCACATATTTGACACTTTTAGTGTTAGATTTATCTTCTGACTCATCATCATCAGACAAAGATACAACAAAGCCTTCACACTCGTAACATTGAATTCATTTGCTTTAATTGGACTTTTAATCAGTTCTAGTATTTTCTGAAAACCATCATCATTGGTGATTTCAGATGAGATGTTCCTGACATTTGATCTTCCTCTTTTATCCATTATTTTTAGAATTCTATTGAATTGCTTTCTAAGTAATACAATGGTATTTGAAAACCCTTACTCATTGTCCAAATCTAACAGACTCTTTTTACCTTCAAAAATGGTACAAAATTTATGCTCTTGTTCTTTTTATAATATTTGTCACTAATAGCTAAATAAAAAGTTTGAAATGACCCAACAAGTTCATCAACCCTCATGTTGCTGATGTCATGAGCTTCTTCAATGGATGTCACCTTCATATTAAATCTCTTAGGTAGAGACCTAAGAATCTTCCTAACAAGCTTTTCTTTTGGCATCTTCTCTCCCAAGGCACTAGATGCATTTTTTATTTAAAAAACATTCCTGTGAAAGTCTTGAATGCTTTCATCATCATTCATATTTAGGTTCTCAAATCTAGTAGTGAGAAGTTGAAGTCTGGACTCTTCATTTTGGATGTACCTTCATGATTTTCCTTGCCAAGCATCTTTAGCTACAATACATGAATTTATTAACCCGGAGACATTCTTGTCCACTCCATTGAATAAAGAATTCAAGGCTTTGGAATTTATAGGAGCTAATTCATCTTACTCCTTAGACCAATCTTCTTATGGTTTCAATGACTCATTCTCATCTTTGTCCTTCACAAAAGGATGATTCCATCCTTTCAACACAATCTTCCTAGATTTTGTGTCCATGAATTTCAAGAAGGCTACCATTCTAACCTTTCAATAATCATAATTTTCACCATCTAACAGATGTGGTCTGTTATTGTATCCTCCTTCTTTATCCATAGTATCCAAAATTATTTTCTCTGAAGCTCACCCAAACACAGAACAGGGTACCTGCTCTGATATCAATTAAAATTCTAGAACTATAAAGCAGACGTCAAGACTGATGGTCCAACACCAAACACAATATCAGGAAAAATGTTAAGATAGTATCTACTTGATACAACAGTTTGCAGAAGATGAATTATGCAAAAAAATAAATTATTGAAGATAAAATAACAGATAATTGTTAACCTAATTCACTGAAACATCACCTACTCTGGGGGCTACCAAGCCAGGAAGGAAATTCATTATGATAGTACTAGTTCAAAGCTAAACAACCCTAGCTTACAACTTATCACCTAATTACTACCTTGTGAAACTTCTACCTAGAAACCCTCTAGATATGAGATCCCCATCTCACTTTCCATAATCACCTCAATGATAAAGCCAATCATAAACCAGTGACAATAACCAAAACAGAAGATTGCACTTTCAATAAACAACACTCAACTCTTTGATTAAAAGCTCATGAGTGAGAAAAATAACTTGATACACAATCAACTATTTGCTTAAAAGCTCGTGAGTGATTGCCTAGTAACAATAAACAATCAATCTACCTCAACGTATCAAAAGATACAGGAGTGACACACAAAAACAAATGAAGCACCTAAAGTACTCTCAAAACCCTAAACCCTAATACACTCACGGTTTCTTGTTGTGAATGTTTGCTATTTTAAGTTTAACAAGTCCTTATTTATATACTCTTGTAGTATGGACTTGGACTCTTCAATCAAATCCAATCTTCTAATTTTAAATCAGCTGCAAGATCTTTTACAAAAATAGCAACCAATCTTCAAAGTTTTCTAAAAAGTATCAAAGATCTTTTTTATGAAACCAAACAAAATCTGCGCTTGTTCATAAAATATCCTTGATTAGATGCGCATGTATGAGAACTAAAATCATCCAAAATCTCTTATTTTTTAACCAAATCTTCAAGGATTTAAATATTTGTAATATTTTGATGTTCTGGTATAACATGTCACAACCTCTGTCAAAACAAATATCAACAATACTAATCGCAGACTCTGTTGTACCAGTTGATCAAAATGTCATGACATCTTGCTCAACATATGCTATGAACCATATTTTAGCAAAATTTATGACAATCATAAAATCATGGATCTAACATTAATGATTATATGTTCTCATTGATTCTTAGTGAATGAGAAATGTATCTAAGTTTTAACACTTCATACTCGGTGATTTTAGATAAATATGAGCGTAATGATGTCCGCACACCTAAATTTGTGAACACACGTTGTACAATAGAACTCGACTAAACATCACAAAAATCAGTAAATATGTCATTAAAGGAAGAATTATATCCAGAAGAAATATTAGTAAGGGTTAAATAAGTTTTTGGTCCCTCTAAATATAGCGGTTTTCAACTTTAGTCCCTCTAAACATTTCCTTCAAAGAATGGCCCTCCTAAAAATTTTAATTTTAAGTTTTGGTCCCTCCTGCAATTTAGCGACAATTTTTTATAATTTAACGACAATTTTTTACAATTTAGCGACAATTTTAGCGACAGTTTTTTATTTAGCGACTGAACTAGAGATCATTTTAGTTATGATTTTGCCACGAGGGACCAAAATTTAAAATTAAAATTTTTTAAGAGGATTATTCTTAAAAAAAAAATATTTAGAAGAACTAAAATTAAAATTATTATATTTAAAAGGACTAAAATATATTTAACCCTATTAATAATAAGATATACATATCTAGGTTGTCGTTGACACTTTCTAATCATAGAGCTCCTTTCAAATTTTAATGGATGCAATTTTCTTTGATCATTGCATTTGCAATGACTATTAATAAGTATTTCAAAATATAAAATAGGTATTAATGGTCTATTAAAAAAAAAATTGATCGCTCTATTACAATTATTTATTCAACCATAACATCGCATGTGTGTGACGTATAATTTTTATTCTATTTTTTCATCTCTTTTACTTTATTTACCTTTTATTTAAAAGCGTGGAAAATTATGTAATATTATATTACTAAAATATAAATATAAATTAAGTTTGTGAAATTTTTATCATTAATGTTAATTTAAAGTATATTTTCGTGCATCACACGTAGGTAGACTATATATATAAATAAGTAGATTTCATAAAATTGAAAGAGTAATAAATAAAATAAGATAGAAAGCAAAAACTCAATAATATAAATAAGAAAAGTACTTTCTTTGTTCTTTTTTATTTTGTTTTAGAATATACAATCTTTGTAATTTTCTATAAACAAAAAATAATTCTTATTTATCTAGAATAAAAGATAATTAGCATATGCATTTTATTTCCTTTAATTGGTAGAAAAATTAAAGGCATGTCATTAAATTTTATTTTCTTTTGTATTTTTGACCATTCAATTAATTAGTTTGAATTTAGACAAAAGATTTAACTTTTTATTTATTGATATTGAATAAATCATATATATATATATATATATATATATATATATATATATATATATATATATATATATATATATATATATATATATATATATATATATATATATATATATATATATATATATATATATATATATATATATATATATATATATATATATATATATATATATATATATATATATATATATATATATATATATATATATATATATATATATATATATATATATATAATTCAGTCAAACTTTCTTTATATTTTATTTTATTTTGAAGGGAGTATGTTTTAAAAGTTTATTATATATAACTTTTATAAAAACAATTTCACTGCATTATTTATATTTTTCGGTTTCAGTTTTCTCAAAACCAGTTGAAAGCACCTAGATTCCTCTGATTTTACTTCTTACAAAAATATTTGTATTATGAAACAAAAAAAAAAAATTCAAAGTTCACCCGACCCTTTTTAAATCGCTGATTTCTTTCTACTTCATCATTTTTCTCTTTCTCTCATTTTATATTTCTCTCTCATTTACCTTATATAAGGCCTAGATCCAATAATAAAAAGAAAAAATGAAATGATGGTTCCATCTCAGTTGCTTTCTATGAACTTAAACGATGAAACATGTGCTCTTTGTATAGACGGGGGAGATTTAATTTGTTGTGATAGTTGTCCTTCTGTTTTTCACCAAAGCTGCTTGAATATAAATGTATGTGTCTCAATATATTTTATGAGTACTTTTTAGTTGTTTTTTAATATTTTGTTCAATAATTTTAAAATATTTATTTTTATTTTTCATTATATATCAATTGTTAATAATTAATGATATAATTATCTAGTAAAAATAAAATATTGTAAATTTATATTTGACATTGGTTTTTAACAAATAAAATTATTAAGTATTTAATACTTGCATATGCTGAAACTCCTTAGTGAGGTTGAAAATCAAAATTTTATTGATCAATTGAGTTGCATATATATGTTTTTAGAGAATAATACTAACAGTTTAAACTATTTTTACACGGTCGGTTAATAATAACTGTTAGATTTTTATAAATTATTAACTTTTATAATTACATTAAATTATTATATATAAATTGATTGTGATGCATCAATTACACTGAAAATGTATAACAATTAATCTCATATTATTATCATCAATCAAAAGTTTAATATATAATTACGAACACTTTTTTAATTGATTTTCATCAATTCTTTTATTTTATAGCATTCTTTTTATTTTATTATATATCGTTTGTTAAGCATTTTTTTTTTTTTTTACTAAATTAATTAGAATATAGAATTCATCATTTATTTTCTTTTGCAGGAACTTCCATCGGGTGACTGGCACTGCATTTTTTGTTGTTGTAAATTTTGTGGGTTATTTGCAGAAAATAAAAAGCAAAATACTATATATAATCGAAACTATGGATGTGTGCTTCTAACTTGTCAATCATGCAGGAAAAAATGTATTTTCTCATATTTTATAATAAATACATCCTCTTTGTTTTTGTTGGTTCATTGATTACTAGTTTGTGAAGAATGTACTTTCTTTTTCCACAAAAATTAACTAATTTTTTCCTCGATAAATAATAGGTAAACATAAAATCTAAACATCTAATCGTAAGTATATAGTCTCTTAACATTTTTTATTTAAATTTGTTTTTTTTTTTAGATCACGAAACTTGTCTCGAGGCCAATAATGATGAGACCATTCACTTTAACCGTGCATCTGTATGTGGAAAAACATGTCAAGAGGTATGTTACTTTTTTATATTTTAGAACCTTAAATACTATTCTAATTTTTTTAGTGATGCAATGATATTTTGAGATTGATAAATTAAATATTTATGATTGTTATGTATTTATCAAATTTTATGCTTGAGCTATTGTGAGTTAATCTTAATGAGGCAAGTGTATATTTCTTTTTTTCCAAGTGAAGCCGTTTAATTTTATGATGATTAAAGTATGTTGTTTTCTTTATATCTATGATTTTTCTATTAATTATTAAAATAATTTATATTTTATAAATGTCATGTTGACTAAGTCTGTTGGAGGGTATTTTAATATTTTATTATACCTTAATATTGTATATAAATAGTCTAATAATATGTAGGTTAATGTATTCATTACTCTTTATTTTGTAGCCTTCATTTAATATATTCATTTTGTTTTTCATCTCTTCTTTGTGCACCAATAATCGATATTTAGAGCTCTGGTTCGAAATTCACGGGGAAACACGGAAAACACGAGTGAACAGTGATGTGTTGTGTGATTAAGAATCATATTTTTTATGATTCTGAGAGATTTGAGAAATACTGTGTGTTAGTGAATTTTTGAGTGAACTGTACAAGGTTGAAGATGAACGGAAACGTCAATATCAGTTCCAAGTTTCCAGTGTTTGATGGCAAAAATTGGAATTGTTGGAAAATCCAGATGCGTGTGTTGTTCGGTTCTCAAAATGTGTTAGATTTTGTCACCGATGACTATGCTTCATTAGCAGCAGATGCGACGGAGGCACAGAAGACAACGCAGAAGGCGATAAGGAAGAAAGATCAAAAAACATTGTTCTACATCTATCAATGTATGGGTGCGAATGTGATTGAGAAGATTGCTTACTCTGAAACAGCAAAGGTTACGTGAGGCACACTGATCAGATGTTACGGTGGTGATGTATCAGTGAAGAAGGTGAAGCTTCAGTCCCTAACAAAGCAATATGAGAATCTCAACATGAAGGACAACGGAAAGGTTTCTGAGTACATCTCTAGAGTGATTCTGATCACTAATGAGATGAAAGCTTATGGAGAAATCATTTCCGAACAAGTAATCATAGAGAAGTTATTGAGATCTTTAACTTCTCAGTTTGATTACATTGTGGTAGCAATTGAATATTCCAAAGATCTGAATACCATGAGAGTTGAAGAGCTGCAAAGTAGTCTAGAGGCATATGAGTTGCATATGACTGAGAGAATTTCTGAGAGGGAAGGAGAGCAACAGGCTCTGAAAGAAACTTTTGGTAAAAAGTATCAGAAGCAGACTTGGTCAGAAGTCAGGAAGAAAACTAATGGTGGTCAGAGGTCAGAAGCTTCAACCTCTAATAGGCAGAAGAATGTCCAGAAAAGAAATGAGAAGTCTGACAAGAAGAATGTTCAGTGTTACTTTTGCAAGAACTTTGGTCACTATGCCAAAGATTGTTGGTCAAATAAAGAAAGGAAGTCAGAAGAAGCAAATATAGCCAGAGGAGAGTCTGATGATGAACCTGTGCTATTGTTGGCTTATGAATCTGATGATATGAATTCATCAGAATAGTGGTATATAGACACATGGTGTTCAAACCATCTTACTGGAAACAAGAAATGGTTGGTTGATTTTGACTCTGGGAAGAGTATAAAGATAAAATATGTGGAAGATAAATACCTCAATGCAGAAGGTATGGGAAATGTCAGAGTCATTCTAAACAATAGGAAAACATCAGTGGTCCAGAATGTGTAGTATGTACCTGGTATGAAAAATAATATGATGAGTATGGGACAACTGATTGAGAAAGATTTTTCAGTTACCATGAAGGACGATCTTTTGAAGTTGTATGACTGTAATCAAAAGCTTATTATGGAGTCAGAACAAAGAAGGAACAAAATATTCAAAATGAATGTTAGAACTACAGACTCTGAATGTCTTAGTGCAACAAATATTGTCAAGGAAAGTGAGTTGTGGCACAGAAGATTTGGTCATCTGAGTTTCAGAAGCTTAGAGCATCTGAAATCGAAGAAGCTGGTACATATAATTCCTACAATCAAGAAGCCTGGTAATTCATGGAAGGTGTGCATGGAAGGGAAGCAACCAAGATTTCCATTTGCGTCAGAAGTAGCTCCAAGAGAAAAGTATGATTTAAGAGTAGTGCATTCTGGTGTGTGTGATCCATTTCCAGTAGCATCAATGGGAGGGAATAAATACTTTGTTTCATTTGTTAATGAGTTCACAAGAATGACACGGGCATCTCTCATAAAGTTCAAACACAAAGTGTTTGTTGAATTCAAGAAGTTCATACTAAAGGTTGAGAATCAGAGTGGCCAGACTCTGAAGATTCTTAGAACTGACGGTGGTGGTGAGTATAACTCCACATAGTTCATAAGTTTTTGTGAGGAGAATGGAATTGAGTATGAGGTTACTGCTCCCTATACTCTTCAACACAATGGTCTTACTGAAAGAAGAAATCGTACTTTGCTTGATATGGTGAGAAGCATGCTGAAAGAGAATAAGCTTCCTCATAATTTTTGGGGAGAAGTTGTTGCCACTGCATGTTATGTGCTCAACAGATATCCAACAACGAATTTGAAGGAAATAGTTTCCATTCAGAAGTGGAATGGAGAAAAGAAAAGTGTTAGTCATCTGAAGGTGTTTGGTTATGTATGTTACAAACATGTCTCAGAAGCCAGAAGACAAAAGTTATATAATAGAAGTAAAGTAATATTACTGGCGGGGTACCATATTACTGGTTTGTATAACTTTATTGTCCATAAACTAACAAAGTTGAGTTCAGCAGAGACGTCATTGTAAAACAAATAGAACTCTGAAATTAGGAAAAGTCTCATTCTGACTCTGATGAGAGAACTTCTGAAGAAAAGTCAGAAACACATGTTTCTGAAGCTAGTAAAGATTTTGAATCTGAAGACGAGTCTGATGGTGACTCTGACTCTGAAGTAGATTCAGAAGGTGAAGATGATTCTGACCCCGATGGTGATTCAGAAGGTGAAGATGATTCTGACTCTGACTTCGATGGTGATTCAGACTCTGGGAATTTTCAGGACTCTGAAGACAGTCACAATTCTGGAGAAAGTCCAATTTATGAAGCAAGAGCTTCTGAAGGGGAAAGTTTTGGTGTCTGAGGTTCTGAAGTTCAAGTTCAGAGGCAATAAAGAGTCAGAAGCATCCCAAGAAGATTGGAAGATTTTGACATGCTGCAAGACACTGAAGTAGACTCCGAAGGAGAAGTTATTCAGTGTGCAATGTTAGTAGACTATGAATCCATGAGTACGAAAGAGGCTCTTAAGCAGCAAGTCTGGTTGCAGGCCATGAAAGAAGAACTTGATTCTATAGAGAAAGACAAGACTTGGAAGCTGACAAAACTTCCAAAAGGCAAGAAATCCAATAGCGTCAGATGGGTTTTCAAGCAGAAGCTAAAGGCAGATGGATCAATTAGCAAACACAAAGCAAGATTAGTAGCAAGAGATTTTCTATAGAAGCACGGGTTGGATTACTCTGAAGTGTTTGCACCTGTAGCGAGATATGAAACAATCAGACTAGTTATTGTAATAGCTGCTAACAAGAATTAGCCTCTGATGAGTTTAGATGTAAAATCTGCATTTCTGAATGGTACATTACAAGAAGAGGTATACGTGTCACAATATCTTGGATTTAAGAAAAAGAATCAGGAATAGATGATGTTTAGATTACACAAATCCTTGTATGGATTAAAGCAAGCGCCCAAAGCCTGAAATATGAAGATTGATTCATTTTTCAAGGAACAAGGATTTCAGAAGTGTGAGATGGAATATGGTGTTTATGTTCAACATACTTCAGAAGGCAATATGATTCTGGTATGTTTGTATGTTGATGACATATTACTAACAGGAAGTTTTGAACAAGAGATATATCGGTTCAAGAATGTTTTGATGAATGAGTTTGAGATGACACATCTTGGGAAAATGAGTTACTTTCTAAGGATGTAGTTTATGTACTCTGAGAAAGGAATCATTTTGCATCAGATGAAGTATGAACTTGAGCTTCTGAAGAGATTTAAGCAGGAGAATTGTAAAACTGCCATCACACCTGCTGATACGAATCAGAAGTTGGACTCTAATTCTGATAGAGAGGATGTGGATGCTACAACCTTCAAACAGTTGGTTGATTCTCTGAGGTATTTGTGTAATACCAGACCTGATATTTGCTATGCAGTTAAAATGGTTAGCAGATTTATGAGTAAACCAAAATGGTCTCATTACCAAGCTGTTGTTAGGATTTTGAGGTATGTGAAGGGAACTCTGAAGTATGGAATGTTATTTCCTTCTGAAAGAAAGACTGAATCAGAACTTCTGAGTTATTCAGACTCTGATTGGTGTGGAGACAGAGTTGACATAAGTATTTTTGGATACTTATTCAAATTTCTAGGAGGCCCTATTTCTTGGTGTTCCAAGAAGCAACCTGTGAAGCTGAATATATTGCAGGCGCTCTGACTGCATGTCAAGTTATGTGGATTCTGAACTTGCTGCAGGATCTAAAGATCGAGGTAAACAAGCATCTGAAGTTGGTGATTGATAACAAGTCTGCAACCAATTTTGCCAAGAACCTAGTGTTGCATGGGAGAAGCAAACATATCGAGACCAAATATCACTTTCTGAGAAATCAGGTTCAGAGTGGAATATTAGAAGTTGTGCACTGTAGCACCCAGAAGCAGCTGATGGACGTTCTAACAAAGGTTATCAAGACTGATCAATTTCTTCGTTTGAGGGATGAAATTGATGTTGTTAGTTTTGTGTAAATATAAATTAAGGGATGATGTTGGAAATAATTTTAGAAGGTATTTTAATATTTTATTATACCCTAATATTGTGTATAAATAGTCTAATAGTAGGTAGGTTAATATATTCATTACTTCTTATTTTATAACCGTCATTTAATATATTCATTTTATCTTTCATCTCTCGTTTATGCACCTACATCAACGATATATTTTCCAATCATTGTAATAACTAATAGTTAAAAGTTGTCATTTCAGATATTTGAGAGGTTCGAAATACTTCTACGGGGTAAACATGATGTAGGAAATGGATTTTATGTCACTTTGTTTTGTAAATCACATGACATTGGTTGGAGTGGTTCAAAGATTGATATGGCATTATCAATAATGTACGAATGTTTTCAACCTACTTTTGTCAATCATAATGGCAATCAGATTGATATGATCCCAAATATTTTATCTAGCAGCTGGTAAGGTCATTTTGATAATATATTATTACTGCAAAGTAATCACCTATTTTGTCTATAACTAGCATTCAACAAAATTGGCCAATCAACTTTAGTGGAGTTAGAATCAAAACCTATTTTTATATTAATTGTGTTCAACTAAAAATCTAATCATCATATTATAGATATTTTTATGGGTATTAATATCCTTACTATTTATTTTGGTTAGGTCAAGTTCTCTTGCAATTAATTATGCTGGATTTTTTACTGTACTACTGGAGGAAGGTGGCCATGCAATTAGTGTTGCGACAGTAAGGTAAATCTCTTTCTATATTTCTTATAAATGCTCATGCAACTTTCAAAGAAATTATTGGAAAAATTTGACTGAAGAGAGTGAAATATATGTAATTGTGTAATTTATTAATTGGTGAATAGGATTCATGAAAACCAGTATGCAGAGATGCCATTTATTGGAACACGCTTTATGTATAGAAAAAGAGGAATGTGTCATCGACTCATGAATGCCATCGAATTAGTAAGTTCATAGCTAAAAATTATATATAAAATATTAAATTTTTTTATATATATATGTGTCTAGAATAAGTATTAAATTTTGTTTATTTCACTCGATATAATTTTTTTATATTTTGTCGCAGTATATTAGTACCATGTAAGTAAGTATACTAATAGAATAAATATTTTTGTTTTTGATTCAGATGCTAAGTTACTTAAATGTTGAGATGTTAATCATTCCATCTGCTCAAGAAGTATTACACACTTGGATTTCTTGTTTTGGATTTGAGCCACTTGACATGACCACCAAAAATTTAATCAAGAACAAAAATGTTGTGAAATTCTTTGGAGTAGAAATGTTGCAGAAGAGAATAAGCAAAGTATGATCTTTCTTCTAAAAATTTGAATTGTATTGAAAGTAAAAGGAAAGTTCTAGTTGAGCTACATTTTAGCACTAAAGCTCTTGAGATTATTACAAACGGAAATAATAGTGAAGCTCTTCCAAATCATATATGAAGGAGAGTATTGAGTATTGGTTATAAGACAAGAATAACTCTAGTATATTATTATTGGAGCTACTAGTTAGTTTTTCATTTTCATTTGCATGGATCTAGAATTCCTTTACAAGATCAATATAAGTTGGTTTGTAGAGTCGAAAGAAGAAATAACCCCAACCTTGCTTAGATAATTCGTCAAGAAGATCAACACCATTTTCTGTGATGTTGTCAAAAACTATCATGAGTTCGCTCAAAACTTCAAATTGATTTAGAGGGGTATCAAGATTAGTTATGACATGGCCACTGAGAATGCTTTCTAGGGCTTTAACGGATTTTTCTGGGTTTTGAGAGGCTGTAGTAAGAGATTGTGAAGATGATTGTGGTTGAGAAGAGGAACCGCCTTTTGCCAGTTGGTCCATTTCTTGAGAGAATTGTACCGGTTTACGCTCAATGTGATTATTCATGGAAGAAAGAGAGAGAGGACAACAAGAAAGAACACAAAGGGTACTGAAAGTGACGTTAGAGAAGATTATGAAAAGGAGAGGGTTTTGAAAGGTATTTATAGAGAATTTTGAAAACAATTGTTGAAACTAAAAAAACGTACATGAAAAGTAAAACAGTTGTTGCTCTGATGTTTTTACATACATCAGGCCAAGGTTAGATGTACCCTTCAGATATTTGAGGATTCTCTTAACTGCAGTTAGGTGAGTCTCCTTAGGATCTGACTGAAAGCGAGCACATAAGCAAACACTATATAGAATATCTGGTCGTGAGGCTGTAAGATAGAGAAGAGAGTCAATCATACCACGATATAGCTTATGACAAACTTTTTTACTTTTTTCATCTTTTTCTAGAATGCATGTAGGATGCATAGGGGTCTTAGCAGGTTTACTTTCTACATATCAAACTTTTTTAGAATTTCTTTGGTGTATTTTCCTTTATGAATATGTGTAGCTTCAGGTGCTTGAATAATTTGAATTCCCAGAAAGTACTTCAGTTTTTGCATTAAGCTCATTTCAAATTATGCCTGCATTAACTTAGAAAATTCTCGACAGACAAATGGATTAGCAAAACCAAATATAATATCATCAACATATATTTGACATATTATAAGATTGTTTCCATTATTTTACAAGAGTTTTGTGTCCACTTGTCCTCTTGAGAATCCATTATCAAGTAAGAAGGAACTTAATCTTTCATACCATGTTCTGAGAGCTTGTTTAAGTCCATATAAAGATTTCTTTAATTTAAAGACATGTTTTGGAGATGTTAGGCTTTCAAAACCAGGAGGTTGATGAACATAGACATCTTCAAAAATATACCCGTTTAGAAATGCAATTTTAACATCCATTTGATATAACGTGATATTGTTATGAATAGAAAATGAAATGAGTATACAAATAGATTCTAACCTGGCGACTGGAGAAAATATTTCATTATAGTAAATACCTTCTTGTTGACTGTATCCTTGAGAAACTAATTATGCCTTGTTTCTGACAAATTTACCTTTCTCATTTAGCTTGTTTCTGAAAACCCACTTTGTGCCTATAACGTGAACTCCTTTGGGTTTGGGTACCAGATCCCAGACATCATTTCTAGAGAATTGATTAAGTTCTTGCGTTGCTAGGATCCACTAATTATCTTGAAGTGCTTATGTAATTGATATTGGTTCAATTAGAGAAACTAATCCTAGAATGGTTTCCTCAGGTTGCTTGAAGGTGGATCTTATTCTGACTGGTTTTGTCTTGTTTCCCAGAATGAGTTCTTCAGAGTGATCTTGTCTCAATTTATGTATGTAGTTGTTTAGGTATTGGCTTGCATTTTTGGTAAAACCCAAGTGTATGTGTGAATGTCATGACTGATGTCATAACATTCTAGTTTAGTTTGTACTGACTCATTAGGTACCTTTGCAGAAAAATATTGTAATTCAAGTACTGATGTTTATAAGTGTGTATCTGAGCATTTTGCAAAATGATCACATTTTGCTAAATCAGTAGACAGGTTTTCTCAGATGTCATAACAGATGTTATGACATCCTGTTCTGAACTAACAGGTTTGCAGGTTGGATAAGTCTGAGTTTTTTCAGGAAAATAACTCAGTCTTTCCTGAACAGAATCCTGCGTTTTCTGAGGGGTAACCTAGCTCAACCCTAACCTGGTTAATAAAGTCCTGTGACCTGGTCTTTGGGTCAAACGGAATTAACCCTAGGTTTTTGTGGAAACCCTAACTGAAGTTGCAGCTGCTATATATTCAACAGAGCTGTTGTTTTGCAAGGCATCCCTTTTTATTGATCAGAAGATCATTTGTAATCTGTATAGATTTGATTATTGTACTCCAAACAATTATCATTGTGATAAGTGACTTGGAATAGGTTTCAAATTGTAAGGGCTGTGTAGCACTCAAAGCTTTGAAGCAAGAGTGTTTGAATGTTCGTTGACTGAAGCTGTGAAGCAGAGTCAAGTTAGTTGTGTGGATCACTCAAAGCTGTGAAGCAAGAGTGATTGTGTTGCTTGATTAAAAAGCTGTGAAGCTTAATCAAGTGTTTGTTTTTGAAGAGTGTCTTCATCAACTCTTAAGTCAAATTGTTTTATGTATCACTGTTGTGATTGAGGGGGAGTGAGTAGGAACTCAGGTTTAAGTTGTACTTAGATTGGAATTGCATTGGGTAGGTCTTAAGTGAAGGAGATAAACTGGTTGGTTTATTCCTGAATTAACATCTCTTATAGTGGATTTCCTCCCTGGCTTGGTAGCCCCCAGAGTAGGTGTTGTTGCACACTGAACTGGGTAAACAATTGACTGTGTTCTTTATTGCTTTTGTATTTACTGTCATATAGTAAGTCAGATACGGTGTCATAACATTGAACGTGACATTGAGTATCTGCAGCCATAATTTCAATTGGCATCAGAGCAGGCACCCTGCCTGTATTACTGGATGAGATCTAGGGATATCACTTTCTGGAACTATGGACAAAGAAGGAGTTTTTGGAAACAGACCACCCATTCTGGATGGAACTAATTATGACTACTGGAAACCTCGTATGATTGCCTTCCTAAAATCTCTGGACAAAAAGGCTTGGAGAGCTGCTGACAAAGGATGGATTCATCCCACCATAACTGAGAAAGATGGGACAATCAGTCTGAAGCCTGAGGAAGATTGGAGTAAAGAATAAGATGAGTTAGCCCTGGGAAATTCCAAAGCTTTAAATGCCTTGTTCAATGGAATTGATAGAAACATCTTCAGATTAGTACATCAATATGAACTGGCCAAGGAAGTTTGGGACACTCTCAAAATTACTCATGAGGGCACTCCCAAAGTAAAAATGTCAAGGCTTCAGATGTTGACTACCAAATTTGAGAATCTAAAAATGATGGAAGATGAAACCATTCATGAGTTTCACATGAACATCTTGGAGATTGCCAACACCTCAGGAGCACTGGGAGAAAAGATGCCAGAAGAAAAACTGGTGAGGAAGATTCTCAGATCCTTGCCTAAAAGATTTGCAATGAAGGTAACTGCCATAGAGGAAGCCCAGGACATTAGAAAGTTGAAAGTGGATGAACTTATTGGGTCTCTTCAGACTTTTGAGATGGGAATCACTGATAATGGTGTCAAGAAGAACAAGAGCATAACACTTATGTCCAACACTGATGTTGAAGAAAACATTTCAGAAGCTGTAGCCATGCTTGGAAGACAGTTCAACAAACTCATCAAAAGAATAGATCCAAAGTCAAGGTCTAATGTTCATAACATTCCCTCTGACATTGACAGTTCCAGCAGAAGACCAAGGTCAGAAGAGAAGGGAATTCAAGGCAGAGGAATTCAATGCCATGGTTGTGAAGGATATGGGCATATTCGAGCTGAATGTCCTACCTTTCTTAAGAAACAAAAAGGAATGACAGTTACTTGGTCTGACTGTGATTCAGAAAGTAATTCTGAAGAAGAATCTGCCAAACGAGTTACTGCTTTAACTGGTGTGTGTACCTCTGAAAGTGACATCAGTGATGAAGAAGTGACTTTTAAAGAATTGGCTGATACTTACAAGAAATTGTGTATCAGAAGTACTGAAGTCTGTGTGCAGAATGAGAAACAATCAAAACTCATCATAAAGCTGGAGGCTGAAAAAAGGGCAAACCTTGAAACTATAAGTCATCTAGAAGGAGAAGTTCAATTGCTGAACTCACAACTGAATCGAATGACCAAATCTGTCAAGATGTTGACAAATGGAACAGACAAATTGGAAGAGATCCTTCAGGTTGGACAAAATGTGGGAAATAAATCTGGACTAGGATTTATGGAAGCAAAGAAATCTGGTACTGGTAAGCAAATGTAAAAACAGATGTCTCAACACAACTCTCAACATCAGGAACAGAGACATATGAAGAAAAGGTACCAAAGATGGAAATGTCATCATTGTGGGAGATATGGCCACATAAAGCCCTTCTGCTTCAGACTACATGGATATCTTAATCAAAACTCAGGTGTCAAACCTAAGCCTAAAAAGGTACCACATGCTCCTAAATGGAAGAAAAAGGCTACTGCACTGATAGCTCACACTTCCCTGAGGGTCTCTGCAAAGGAAGACTGGTACTTTGACAGTGGATGTTCCAGACACATGACTGGAATCAAGAACCTCCTCAATAATGTTAAGCCTCACACCACCAGTTTTGTGACCTTTGGAGATGGGGCTAAAGGTGAAATCAAAGGAGTTGGTGATTTGGACTGCCCTGGAGTTCCAAGTCTGAATGAAGTACTGCTGGTGAAAGGGCTGACCGCTAATCTCATTAGTATCAGTCAATTGTGTGATCTAGGATTCAAGGTCAATTTCTCAAAATCTGAATGCCTTGTAATCAATGACAAACAAGAGATAATAATGAAAGGAGTCAGATCC